ATTCCTAAATTCCTCCAAAACCTTCTTGCCCATCCATTTATCCATTTGACTCAGGGACCCTTTAATTTCTAATTGGCAGCAGAAGATACTAGCCTACTTCTTTTCAATGTAACATGTCTTTAATTCTAACTTTTCAAGTTAGTGACTGCACAGACAGCGTAAATCACCATTTGTTATGGTTAAATGGGCAGAGGTAGCAGACTATCTAATTTTGCATGATGATATGGACTCAGTCAATCTAGTCTGATATAACCCTAGTGCTTCCTGCAGATTGCACAATCTGAAATTACTCTCCTCTCATCCAGAAATTTCTCTGGATAATTTCTCATCTCTTAATCCTGCTATCCAGTGCTTATCCTTCCTTGGCAGCAGCCATTCCAATTTTGCTATTCCAAAGGTAAAAGAACAACAAATAAATTTGTTTCCATCCTGTGAATAGCATCATTCAGTATTGACTTTGCTGATAGGAGATCTATAAATGAACATCAGGAAAGCACAGGTGAAAGAAACACTACTGGAACCAGGGATGTAATTTGACAAAGTTCTCTATAACCTTGCACAGATGTGATTGTGATCAAAATAGGCTGCTTACCGGCCAAAATACTGTCCACATATGATGCATTCTTCATATGTCCCTGATCTATTTCAGTCCTATCACATGGCTAGAGCCACAGAATCATCAAGACTGGAAGAGACCTTTAAGACCATCTGTCAACATAGCACCATTTTAATCACCCCTAAACCCAAGTGCCACATCCAGATGCCTCTTCAACACTTCTAGAGATGGTACCTCCACCACCTCCCTTGGCAGCTTATTCCAATGCCTAACCACTTCTGCAGTGAAAATAAAATTTCTTATTTCTAATCTGGCTTTCCCCTGGTACAACTTCATTTCCTCTCATCCTTCCACTTGAGACATGGCAGAAAAAACCAACCCCTGCCTCATGATGGTTTCCTTTCAGACAGCTGTAGAGAACAATGAGCGTGAGCCTCCTCTTCTTTAGACTAAACAAGGCCAATTCCCCCAGATGCCCTCAGAAGATCTTCACCAGCTTCACTGCCCTTCTCTGAACTCACTCCAACACTAAAATGCCATTTTTTAAAGTGAGTGGCTTTACCAGTTCTGAGTACAGGGGGACAGTCACTGTCCTAGTCCTACTGGCCACACTACTCTTGGTATCTGGGGTCTGGTAATTCAAAATTTGTAAACATTCTAAGGGCCATGGTGGGAAATAGAAAACTGCCCTAGTGTAAATAAACTTATGACTGACACTAAGTCTACTGTCAGCACAAACTATAGTTCAATAAATACCTAAATCTACTAAAAATTAGTGCAAAAATTTTTGAGTTTTTTTTTTTAGTAATTTGACCATCCTCTTCTTAAATAACTTTGCAGATGTAGTTAACTTCATGTATCATAATTAGTTCCACTGATTTCAGTAGCATCTCAGGTACAATTCAGATGCAACTGAGTATCCCATCTAAGTAACTGCAAGGCTTTCATTTGTTTTTGTCAAATTACACCGAAACATCCACAGCTGATACAGGTAAACATGCTTACATTACATGACACTTCTTACTTTGTCAAGGGCTGCGTTTTCCAATTTGTCTTTTGCAACTGATAGTTTTTGCTCCAGATCTGTTAGCTGTTGTGCCTGTGGGGATCAAGAAAAAAAAGCTGATGCAATCTCCAATGCATTTTTTCATGTGAGAGAGGAAAGAACAGAAATTTTACAAGTAATATATATGGGTTGGGTCAGATTTGCTTTTCCTGAGGAAAAAAAAATTATGGCCAAATGTGCTCCATTGATGTGAATGCAAGTTTATAATAATTAAATATGAATAGCAAAATTATTTCCATACTATAAAATATTTAATATTATGCCATAATATCCTTCTGGAAAATTCAAGGTATTCAAATGTCTTTTAATAATTTTGTTCATTTGTCTGACTTCTGAGTGCAATTTGAAAATTATTTTGTTGTTTTAAACATTGTAATGCCAGCATTAAGCTAATTGGGCATAAACAGACAAATCAGAAAACACCCAAACATTCTTGCATGCAGGCACCGTATGAAATTATACTACCTACTACTATACAAGGAGGTAACTCCAGATTTTTTTTTTCTCCACGTCTTTTCCTGGAAATAGAGAAGGAAAATGCACAAGAATAGCTAACTCAGAGCAGGAAAGCATTTTGGGAGACTTGTTGTTGGAAGTCAGGATCAGGCTGGTAGCCTGCACCCCAAGTGGAAGGACTTCTGGCTCTGTATAATGTATTTGTCATTCATGGAGCACAGGAGTTCAGCAGATGCTTTTTAAGTAAGTGGCCCAAAACAAAAAGCAACAGAAGATGTTTTTAAATGTTCAGTAAATAAAGACAAGTATTTTCTCTCTCTTTCCCTAGGAGATGTATAAACCCAGCCTGTTCACTTGAAGGAAATACATTCTCTGCAAGACTTTTCTGTTTCAGGAAAGCAGATTCCTGCAGTTGTCAGCCTTGTCATTAATAATGCATTACTATGCAACCAAAAGAAATAAGGATTCTTTTGCTGTCGTACCTGCAAAAAAACCCAGCCTAGTCACTGTTTTCCCTGTTTGAAAAGGGAGCCATAGAGAAGGACACTGGACTAGCCACTTATCTTTTCTCTCTGAAATTCTGATTAGGTAAATATACATTTTGTATATGCAAAATAATAGGATAAAATTGTCAATTTTCAGATAAAATGCACCACATTTTTATTTCAACCCAATATCTGCAAGTGCATTTTCCCTCAACACCATTCCTTGCCCTCAGGTTTCTGGACTTCAATCCCAGACAGCGATTTTTTTTCTTGACAGACCTTTCAAGATCTCCCGCACGCTGCTGATTGTAGCATAGCTTAAGTGATAGCCACGCTATGTAAATGCTGTTTAGTGTAAATCCTATAAGGTTAACTTGTTTTCTGCTGGGGTAATGACAGTCCTTCCAGAACATGTCATAGATGAGGTGGTGGGCTTAGGCAAGCCTGCAGTCCTCAGCAGACAGCTAATGTGATGTTCATTAGCAGTAGGCATAGTCTGTACTGCCAGATGAAATGTCAAAAGCCTGGAATTTTCAGTTCCCAACTCATGTAAAGAACTGAGTAGTTGCATTTTAAAACAGGATTAGGCATTTATCTTCAGATTTATCACCAGAGTCACAGTTTCATTAGTCAAAACCAAACTTCCTTCAAAGTGGAAGTCAACTGTGTTACTTAGATGTGGGAAAGTCTCTTGTGAATTGCTGTCCATAATTTAGACTGCATCACATTCCTTACAGCTAACACCAGTCACTGTCACAACATACATATCAGACCATTAGTTTGACCCTTTAACTGGCAACAGAGTTCACTACAGAAATAATCCTTCCATTTTATCAGTTTTCAACATTTAAGTGGAATTATTACTGATTTACTAGAGAAAAAAATTACTGATATAAGAAATTGCTAGAATTCAGTGACTTTTTGGATTTTTTTCCTTAATATGGTATACAATTTCACTCACAATAAACATGGCCACAGAAAATGTCTGAAATACTGAACATTGACTCTATGTGATGCAAAGACACTTCTCATAGAACTAGAGTAAGACATTTCAGACATCATTAACATTTTTATACTGTTACTTATTAAATTATTTTTCAGTACAGCTATACAAATTAATACACTCTCAATTAAAGAGAATCAAGATTTGAAAAACTGAGTAATTTCAATTGCCACTAAAAAGGAAATTACACAAAATAACATATGACAAACATGAGGATGGCACCTCTGATAGTGTGCAGAATTAGAATCAGATGGAAGATGGTGAGGACCATACAGCTTCTTATTTCAGCACCATCAGTGTTACAGTTTAAATCAGTGAAAAACCAGAGCTACAGCTATGAATTAGAGGGTGTCTGGTTTCCTTCAATACATGCATTACCCAGGCATCTGAAAGTCTTGGTAGTTGACAGAAGACAGGCAGTGGTGGTTAGAATTGACTACTGTTCTGGTTTGAAAACAAAACCAATGAGAGACTCCAAAATCAAAAATACAATTTATTAGGAAAAGTGAGAAAAGTAAACAAAATACCTGCAATAATACAAAAGCAAAACCATTGAGAGAGTCAGAATATAACCTGATACCCTTTTTGGTCAGGGTGTTGGTAGCCATCCAAATTGGAATGGCTGCAGTCCTTCTGGAAGCCCAGTGGAAAAGCCTGAGTCTGGTGTCCCAAAAACCCAAATTATATCCAGTTAGGAATGCTTGGCTCCTCCCTCTGGGTGAAGCTTCTCACAATGGGATGCTGTAACTTTTATCAATCATGCAGTGACATTCAATAGCCCATTATCAGTTGTTATGCAGCATGATGAAGTCAGCCTGTAGCTTATAGAACTTATTATCCCTAATAATGTGTTGCAAAATCTCTGGAAAAAAAAAATAACAACTCTACTACTTTGCATTGCATTTGTAACTGGTATTTTTATAATAGTTTTTTTAGTTCAGTTATGTCTTTCCTACACAGTTCTGGTAAACTTTCCAAGGCAGGTTGCACAAGATCCAGATGCCGAAAAAACACGCTGGATGAATAAACACACCCCAGACTAAAGATCCTGTCTGAAAGTAAGAGAAATTGCAGTATTCTCTCAGGGAAGTTGGTACAACAAGCCAAAAAGGAAACTGTTCCCAGTTTTCTCTTATCATCTCCTTCAAAGACTGAACTACAGAAATTGTATTTACCATTACAGGGCAATATAAAAGTAGCCACAAAGATAAGAGCATTCTTTCTGAGATAGACACATAAATGCACAAATAAAATTATAGGAAAGTGACCCGTTTTTTTTTTCTTTTTTTGAAAGCTTTCTGCAAGGAAAATAGGAGTTTAATGGTACTTTGAACATAATGAAGAATGCTTTAAAATCTGTTAAATGGACTAGTTTTTCATATATGCAAAGTTAGCTGAATTCTGCAGCTGATAATTTTAATATCAGGGGGTGTTTAGGCTGGTGAAGAGGAGACTCAGAGGTGACCTTATCACTCCCTAGAGCTCCCTGAAAGGTGGTTTTAGTCAGAGGCAAATCATGGGGGAAGTGGATGTACATATGCGGAATGGGGTGGCTTAGGATCAAGCCTAGTCACCAGAAGTATACAAATAAAACTGTATTAGAAAGCCTGAAACTTGCATCTTCAAATATGTGCCAGTACACAAAGTACTTCTGTAAAAATTTATCACAAATTTAAAATATGTAATCAATTATTACAAGCCCAGAAAGCAATCCTAATGTTTACACAAGTTCTCTGCCAAAGCAGGTGGTTTTCTGCTTGTTTTTTTCTTCCATTGTTTTTCTTTCATTATTTCATCTCTTTCTCTGTATGTAATATGGAGTCTCATTGCCTTCATTAGAGAAATAAATTATTTAAAATTCCAGGAAATCAGTTTACTGTGGTGCGTAGTTAACTTTGCTAATAGAGAAGGAAACACACATGGCATCAGTTTTACTTCAGAGGGAGGAATGGTACAGATATTTACCAAATCCAGTCAATACGATGCAAAAATAATTTCACATAGTTTTGTATTTGACTCTACCACAGCAATTATTTAAATGATTTTCACATGTCAAATAATGACCTAATTTGTGTAGAACTAGGTGTTTCAAAGAATGTGGAAAATAGTCTTGACACTAAATTTGCAATAGTGATATGGTCCTTAGCTCTTTAGAGGCATTGAGCACTCATAATACTTGAAACATTAGTGAGGAGTGTAAGAGTACTGAAGGTAAATTACAATCCTGTTATTTTGTGAAGCTGCACTTCAAAGAAAGATGTGCATTCAAGAGTATCATCATGGGAACAAGCTAAAACGACTGTAAGGAGCAGCAGCAGAGGTTGTCAAGTGCTGGGAATAAGGTTCTCCATTACCCTCCCTCCTTCCTGTCCATTGCTCCTCTCTCCCAGTCATCCCCACTACAATTCCTGCCTGCCTTCTGCTTGCCATTCCTATCTGCACACCTCTGTCTTTGCTGCTCCTGATGTCATTGACTCCAGCCATGCACTGGACGTGGCAGACATCCTCTAGTTTAACACTATTAACTGGGCACCTGGGGGTTCTGAACATGTGGAGAAGCCTGAGGGACTCCCCAGGGACTCCCCAGGGCCCAGAGCAGATCTTTGTTCAGTGCACACCCACCCTGACCACAACGTTTCAGCAGGAACTGATCATGTCTGTGTACCCAACTGCATTGCACATGGTTTGCTCCTCAGAAGAAGGTGCCAAATTATAAACCAGGCACTCACGGTAAATCCATCTACAGAATACATATTAGCAGTTACCTGACTTGCTGTCAGCTAGTGTTTGCTAAGGTACTAAGTTGTATTTTTTGTTATAATAGCCAATCCTATTTGCTTGCTTATTTTAAGTTAAATTCTACCATGGAACAAACATTTAATACATTGTTAGGCCAGGTGCTGTTAGTTGCTACTCACATTTGAACTTTTTCTTCTTTTTCTAGGACTGCCTATCAAGATACTTTATCTTCGAATTTGAACAAAAAGGAAAAGAGATGAAGTGGTACATCAAATATGTCTGAATCTGTAGCAAAAGCTTTAGAAAAAAGCAAAGATATACTCACACCATGCCACTGAAGCATGGTCACCTTTTACATTTACAAGAGGAATGTCAATAATACAAGATACTTGTATAAACTGACATTGGAAATCATTGCTGGATTTATTTTTACTCATTTCTTATTACTATCATATATACATGTATGCATTTCATGAACAAAAAACCAAACTATTTACAATTCTTTCCTATTTTAGTAAAACATGAGACTTCTTCCAGGGCAATACAGCCTAATAATGGGAAGGCAGTTAATGAAGGAGAAGCAATTTAAAAAATAAGTGGTCTGTAATGTCTTAAATAAATGCAGACCTCAATCTAGCAGAGCACTTAAACTTAGAAGTACTTCACTGAATCAGGGGTTGGGGTTTAGGATGATAATTTAAATTATTGCAATTCAGAGTAGTGTCATTCATAATTAGTAAGTACCTACTTACAAATACAGTGATAAAATTAAGAATATTCAGTGGCAATTTTTATTAATAATTTCTTGGTTTTCACATTGTAATACAAATCAAATTTCAACTTGGGTCAATTCTTTAAGGATGACATGCTAAATGCTTTAAGAGACTGAGATCTGAATAAGACACAGAACCTCAAATTATGACCTCAGTAGAGATACAGACAAGCTCTATTGCCTTGGGTGAACAAATTAATTTTTGTCATGCTCATTACTCATCTGTTCCATGGCTTTATATCACATAGGGAGAGTTTTAAAAATATAAACATACGCACATATGCTCCCTCATTAATCAGCTAGATTGTAAAATACTTTGAAAACATAAGAAGTGTAAGTAAGATATGATAAAGGAGATATGATCTACCAATTCACTGGAATGTTAAGGAAAAAGCTGCCTTTTTCCCATTTTAACTTCCTCTCCCACTTAATCCCCAGAGGTCCAGTTCAGACCAGAGCCATTGACAGTAATAAGTACCAGAATTTAAGAAATAGTTTCTTGATGTCTATTATGCAAAATAAAAATCAAACAATCCGTCCCTATTTATTTCACATATAGCTGCAGAATTATTTCTTCAGAGAAAGAATTATTTTGATGGACACGAACTGCAGCTTTCCTTGATGCCCTTTAGAAATCTAATAGCCCGCAGCTTACATCCTTCTGGTGAAGTGCTCCAAGAAGCTTGCAGTGTTTAGATCTATATTGAGAGCAGACTTCCCTGAAATCCTCAGTAAGCCACACAGAAAATAAAGTTTAGTGGGATGGGAAGGGAGTGGCAGGGGAAAAGGTAAAAGTCCAGTAACGTGAAAGTAGCTAGCAGCCAGGATTTTATCCCAAACATTCATGCTGTGCCAACAGGAAGACTACCTATTTCATTTATCAGAAAGAGTAACAGCTTCATAAACCAGCCACAACAGCAATGCTAACATTAAATCTGTTCTGTTTCCAGTATTAAAGCAATTAGAAATGAAATATCACCTGTTCTTGCCCAAACCTAGCAGCCTCTCTCTGATCAAACAGTGTCCTGGGTTACAACATGGGGTGCAACTGAGGTTTATATTCTACCACCACCTACATTATCTTCTGATGAACTTTAAGGTGGGTGGAGCACTGTTTCTCTATCTTTGCCATGACTCAAGCATGGTAACTCCTTCTGGGAAAACAGCAGCCACCCTGAGGGGTCGGTCATCTCTGCTAATGGGACATCAAGGACTCCCCAGCATGACTCACAGAATCACATCAGCCCACTGTGAAATTCCCCCACCCTAGGGGAGGTACTGCCTCTACATAACCTGGGGTTTGGGACAGATGTACTGCTGCACCCCCAAGAACCACAAGAACTCTCCACCACCACCACTGGACCTCAGAGAAGGACCAGACCTTCCCATAGGCTCACTGCTTTGACAAGACCACATCCAATAGGACTGCTACCACCATTTGGACTGCTACCACCACGCTGACCAACAGGGTATCAGGTCGTGTTCTGACTTTGTCAGTTTAAACCAGTGTTTCTGTACTATTGCCATTATTGTAATTTTCCTATTAAATTGTAGCCCTGACTTGAAATCTTTCACATAGCACT